GAACTCACTATGTAGACCAGGCTGGCCTTGAACTCACAGAGATCCCCTTGCCTCTGCCTCCCAAGTGCTGGGACTACAGGCATGCGCCACCACACCCGCCTTGGAACTGGTCTTTTTGAGACAGGGTCTCCCAGTAGCCCCAGCTGGCCTGGAACTCGCTGTATAGACCAGGCTCGCCTTGAACTCACAGAGATTTGCTTGCCTCTGCCTCCCAAGTACAGGGAGTACAGGGAGTCCTCTGAGAGAGCCGCAAGCACTCTTAACCACAGTGCCGTCTCTCTAGCCCACTTTTTTTTTTAGATGATTTCACTTTGTGTGCAGCCCAGGGTGGCCTCAAACTCACCATCCTTCTGTTTCAGCTTTCTAAATGCCTCAATTACAGTCCTGACCACCAGGAGATGTGCTGGGATTATAAAGCTTCACCGCCACGCCTAACTTTTTACATGGGTTCAGGGGGTCGAGCTCCAGTCCTCATGCCTGATCAGCAAGCTCTTGTCCAACTGAGCCGGCTCCCCACTCCCACCCCTCCTCTGATGACTCAGAGCATGCTGGCTATTGCAGAATGGAGACTTGAGCTTCCTGTGCTGTGCTGGTCTATGGAATTCCTTGGGGTCTGTTGGACCGACTCTGTAAAGGGGAGCCTAAGCAGTGCCTTCCATTGACATTGTCTCTATCTCTTCTAGGGAGATGACGGTCTATCTGCAGTTACCTTTGATTCTGACTTTGAGACATTAAGCGTAAGTAGGGCTGCAGTTCCTTTGCAGGTGTCCTTTAGATGTGTGTGTAAATCAGCCTCCACAGATGCCTGGGTCTGAAAGTTCCAATCTGTTAGGTGGGTTTAAATAGCTGAGATTATCATTTCAGAACTTTTAAAGGAGTTAATCACAGGGCTAGAGAGATGGTTCAGTGGTTAAGAGCACTAGCTGCTCTTGAAGAAGACCCAGGTTCAGTTCCCAGTGCCCACATGGCAGCTAACATCAATCTGTAACTACAGTTCCAGGGGAATCTGGCGCCCTCTTCTGACCTCTTTTGGCATTGCACAACACAGGTGCACTTACACACATATAGGTAATACACTCATACACATAAAATAAAAGTAATAAAATATTTTTAGACAGGTGTGGCAGCACATGCCTTTAATCCCAGCAGAGGCAGAGGCAGGTGGATCTCTGTGAGTTCAAGGCCAGCCTGGTCTACATAGTGAGTTCTAGGCTAGCTGGGGCTACAGGGAGGTCCTGTCTCAAAAAGACCAATGTCTCAAAAAGACATATATATGTAATTTATTTTATTTATTATTTTTATTTTATGTGTATGAGTGTATTGCCTGCATGTATGTGAGTGCACCTGTGTCATGCAATGCTGCGGAGGTCAGAAGAAGGTGTCGGATTCCCTGGAACTGGAGTTAAGGACCGTTCGTAGCCACCATGTGGGTGCTGGGAACTGAACCCAGGTCCTCTGCAAGAGCAGTCAGTGCTCTTAACCAGTGAGCCATCTCTCTAGCCCCAATTTTTTTTTTTTAAGAAAAAAGAAGTCAGATGTGGTGGCACATACCTTTACTTCTAGCGCTTGGGAGGGAGAGGCAGGCTGATCTCTGTGAATTTGAGGCCAGGCTGGTCTATATAGCAAGTTCTAGGCTAGCTGGGGTATAGGGAAACCTTGTCTCAATAGTAATAATAATAAAAGAAAAAATAAATTAATACGACCGGTGTTCTTAAAGCGTACATGACCGGTTGGTAGCCTGCATGTGGTCTCTTTGGTCTAAACTTCAGTTTCCATCCTGACACATGGGAGTGGATAAGTTCAAGGTAAGGCAGGCAGAGTTGCCCCTCAGGGCTGGCTACTAGACCTGGAGTGTTGGGAGCTGGTTGGGAGGACTGATGGACACAAAGGTGGTGATGCTGGGATACATTGTTGAGTGCTTCCCCTCAGCTCCTCTTTGGGGATTCTAGGCAGGTGCTTGAACCACTGACCCATGCCCCCAGACCCTTGTTGGGGGATTAGTTGGCCTCTTTGGTTCTTCATAAGCCACGCTGAGTAGCAAAAGAAAGCATGTTTGCTTGGTGGAGACACGAAGTTGTTCTTGGTGTGGACGTAGTTCTAGCAACACATATGCTCTTACATGAATCTAGACCCAGTTCAGGGCAGCTTCATGGGCCCATTGTCCCCATGGAGTGACACAACCTAGGGTCCCCCTTCTCCATCCTGGGGACATGAGCCCATGGGAGAGCAGCCACTCAACCAGACCCCAAGTAGGGTCCATCCTCCCTAGGGACCTAGGGGGCAGTGTTTCCAGCAGAGCAGGAGCAAGGGTGGCCCGCCGTGTGCTGCTGCCTTCACACCCACTGAGAAGAGGCAGGTAGATGGATACTGGGAAGGCCTTAGCCAGGACAAACCTCTTCCATACTGGGCACTGCGTGGGTGTGTCATGGCATGGAGACCATTTTCCACTCCGGGTCCTCTGCCTTGCTGGGCTTCTCTTCCTTAGTGGGCATCTACCATTTTGGGCTTTAAAAAAAAAAAAATTATATCACCTGTATGCTTGCGCCTGTGTCATAGTCTGAACCTCAGAGGTCAGAAGGTGTCAGATCCCCTGGAACTGGAGTTATGGATGGTTGTTAGCTGTCATATGGTACTAGGAACCAAACCCAGGTCCTCTGCAAGAGCAGCCGGTGCTCTTAACTGCTGAGCCATCACTCCGATTCTGTGCGGTTGGCTTATTTACAAAGGTTTCATCTCGCCACATCTGCTGAGTGGACACAGGTGTGCACCGGCATCCAGAGTGGTTGCGAGGACAGTGTGGTGAGAGTGACCTTCCTCCTGGCTCCCAGCCCAGCTCTGTGTCTCCCATACATAGAAACTGCCTTCAGCCTCTGCCCAGGGATCCACCCTGCCCAGGCTCGGCTCTCAGTAGGGCCCATCCCTCTCTTCGCCCACTCTGAGCATGGTGGGGTTTTCTAACAAGGAAGTGGAGTAGTAGCGCAGGAAGCCCAGCGTGCTTTTCAATGCTTTTTTCTCTTCCTTACAGAAAACAAAAAGAAAAAATTTCCAAAAACCTCCTTCCACATCACCAAGTAAGTATAACCAGGCCCTATTCCCTCAACCCCACCCTGAGTGTTGCAAGAACCACTCCCCCCAGGTCCTGGAGAAAGTGAAGGGTGCTGCTTTACTGGTGCAGATGGGGTAGAGGGACTCACTGGCATCAAGACACCCTCTGTTTGTTTGAGGACCTCTGTCTCTGCCTGTCTGCCAGGCTGCTGAGCTGTCCAAGGGCACCATGCAGGTCACTGTCCCATTGAGGGCACCATGCAGTGCACTGTGGAGTTTGCCCCCCCCCCTTTTTTTTTGGTCTTTTTGAGACAGAGTCTCCTTGTAGCCCCAGCTGGCCTTGAACTCACTGTGTAGACCAGGCTGGCCTTGAATTCAGAGAGATCCTCCTGCCTCTGCCTCCCGAATACTGTGGTTAAAGACGTGCACCACCACACTCGGCTCAAGTTTGCCCTTTATTTAAAAAAAACTTTTTTATCCGGGCATGGTGGTGCACACCTTTAATCCTAGCACTTGGGAGGCAGGGGCAGGCGGATCTTTGTGAGTTCGAGGCCAGCCTGGTCTACATAGTGAGTTCCAGGACAGCTGGGGCTACAGGGGGACCTTGTCTCAAAAAAAAAAAAAAAAAAAAAACCAAAAAACAAAAAACTTTTTTAGACAGGGTTTCACTGTGTAGCTTTTGTTCACCTGGAACTCTCTATGTAGACCAGGCTGGCCTTGATCTCACAGAGACCCACCTGCTTCTGCCTCCCAAGGGCTGGGATTAGAGGCATGAGCAAGTTTGCTTTTTCTTTCTCTTGCTTTCTCAAAGCCAGAATGAGGTGAAGTAAAAGGATGTGGGTGTGAAAATATTCGTGTGTGCACATGGAGCCCAGGGGTCAGCCTTGGCTGTCATTCCTCAGCACAGTCCACCTTGTTTCAAGAGACAAGTTTTCTCATTAGTCTGGAATTCACCAATTAGGTTAGACTGACTGGCCAGTAAACACTGGAATCCACCTGTCTTTGCCTCCCCAGCACTGGGATTATAGGCCTGCACCACCATGCCCAGCTTTTTAAAAAAATTTATTTATCTATTATCTATAATACCATATATATATATCACAGCAATGAAGAACAGTTTTTGAGACAGAGTCTCCCTGTAGCCCCAACTTGCCTGGAACTATGTAGACCAGGCTAGCCTTGATCTCACAGAAATGTGCCTGCCTCTGCCTCCTAAGTGCTGGAATTAAGGGCCTGTCCCACCATGCCTGGCTCTAAAGGAAACATAAGCCTATCTGAAGGAAATTGGATAGGTATTATTATAGTACTGCTAGAATGATTTCAGAAATTTTCATATTCCAAATTTCTTATTCTTTGTTAAAAATATGTAAGTGCACTGTGTCATGCAGTGCCCCCAGAGGTCAGAAGAGAGCATCAGATCCCTTGGAACTGGAGTTACAGATGGTGGTTAGCCACCATGTGGGTGCTGGGAATTGAAACTGTAACCTCTGCAAGAACAGCCAGTGCTCTTAACTACTGAGCCGTCTCTCCAGCCCCTTCTCATTATTTATAGTAAAAATTAAAAGAGAAATGTAATAAAATAATTGTAAAACTGGGTATGCTGACATGCATCTGTAGTTCAAACTGGTAGTGATAGTCAGCTAGGTTGAATATATAGCTCAGTGGTAGAGCACCTGCCTAGACTACCCCAGTGAGGAGCTGGGGCATAGTTCAGGGGTAGAGCACCTGCCTAGAATATAGAAGCTTCCAGTTCCATCCGCAGCATACACACACAAAAGTGTTTCAAGAAGCGTAGACAAAGAGGCTCTCTTGAGCCCAGGATTTTAAGACCAGCCTGGGACTAGCAAGACCCCATCTCAGAGTAAGTAAATGGATAAGTAGAATAATTGTACTGTTTTGGGGTTTTTTTTTTTGTCTTTTTGAGACAGAGTCTCCCTGTAGCCCCAGCTGTTCTGGAACTCACTATGTAGACCAGGCTGGCCTCTAACTCACAGAGATCTGCCTGCCTCTGCCTCCCGAGTGCTGGGATTAAAGGCGTGTGCCACCATGCCTGGCTATAATTGTACTTCTTAGTGTGTATCAGAATGTCTAGACATCTCAGCGTAAGTAAATGGATAAGTAGAATAATTGTACTTTTTAGTGTATATCAGAATGTGTTTGTCTAGATCAGCACACCCTTTGAATATTGCATCTTACCGTTTTTGTTTCTAGAGCAGACATGTTGAAGCAGAGTGACAGTTTTAAAACCATGCGTTGGCTTTCTAGGGTCACCTTACTACTCGAAGCCGAGGAAAGTGACATCCTGGCGATCTCTGAGGACAGCAGGGGGCATGCCTCTGAGTAGCAGAATGTCTTTGACCCCACAGAAGCTGTGGCTGGGAGCTTCCAAACAGGGTACGTGGCACTCCACAGAAGCCCCTCTCGCTTGAGAGCAGTTTTAGAAATTGTGGGAAGTGACTGGAGATGGACTGTTGAATGTGAACAGTTTCAGTGGCCTTGTCTTTGATCTGTCATGGGTCTGTGTGGTTTGCTCAGTTCCACCTGAGGACACCAGTTATGTCAGTGCTGCCCTGTGGCAAGGTGTGTTGGAACCAGCTGCTACCAGCTTCCAGGAGCCAATTGTTAACCTTTCTGTGAGCTGGTGTCATGCTGGTGACTTGAAATGGGACTATTTACACCATTGGAATGGGCATGTGTGTCAGATTAGGGCTTCCTGGACTGATCTCTGAAAGCCACTTGTTAGATATTTCCCAGCACACCCTGGGTGACATAGCTTTCTTCAGCCCCTGGAGGTAAAAGGGAGGCAGAGCTTCCCCCTGTTGTCTGCTTGTACCTATCCTATTAAAACCATGCACATTCAAACCAGGAAGTGTGACCCAACCCCTGCACTCCACACTCACCCCGGAGCACGCATGGACCCACTCCCTCAGTTGCACTCCTGACTACCTGACAGAAGCAGCCCTGAGAGTGAAGAAGGCAGACCTCAGGCGCTCTGCCAGCCATGGTGAGCATGCTCTGGGGGACGAGGCCTGCAAATCAGAAAGGAAAGCCTCTAGTAATTGAGGGGTGAGATTTTGGGCTTTGTGCATGAGCTCTGTCAGAACATTCTAGAATCTTTCCTTGTACCATGTGGGTCCCTGGGCTTGAGCTTAGCAGCAAGTGCCTTTACACACTAAGTATCTGCCTGGCCTCTTTGCCGATTCTGTGTTCCTCTATAGGGCCTGTTGGTCTCTCTGGTGGGCCTTAGCAGGGAACTGTTCTCTGAATGTCAACAGCCTGCTCACTGGCCCTTGGAGCTGATTTTACTGGTTAGAGGTTATAGTTTAGGCTTAAGTGTTTTGGATTTATTTGTTTGCTTGCTTTTCATTTTATATGTTTGTTTGCCTGAATGTATATATGTACACCTGTGTATGCAGTGCCTGCAGTGGCCAGAAGAGGGCATCAAATCCATGGAACTGGAGTTAAAACTGTCTTAGCCACCTTGTTGGTGCTGGGATCTAAACCCAGGTCCTCTGTAAGAGAAGCAAGTGCTTTTAACTGCTGGACCTGAGTTCAGATCCCAGCACCCATGTAAAAAGTCCCTTGTAATCCCAGTAATCCTAGCGCTATGGGGGCAGACACAGGAAGATTACAGGGGCTTGTCAGCCTAGCTTTAGGTTCAGAGAGACCCTGTCTCAAGGGATTAAGGCAGAGAGTGATAGAGCAAGACACTCAAAGTCCTCTGGCTTGTGCATGAGCACAGGCTCTCTCTCTCTCTCTCTCTCTCTCACACACACACACACACACACATACACATGCATGCACACATACACAGATATACCACACATCACACATACATACATACCACATACACACCCCCCACCCATATACCGCACACCACACACATACATACATACACACCACACACATACCATGCATATACCACACAAACACAACACTACAGACACACACCACAACACACACAACACACATATCACACATACACCTTCTATACACATACATACCATATACATATAAACCATGCACCCAAATATACACCATGCATACACAGCACACAACTCACATACATGCACAGCATATCATATATACACACAGCATACATTGCATGCACACATACACCACATATACTACACACACTTCACATGCACACATACACCACACACACCACATACAACACACACCCCACACATACCACACACACACACACACACACACACACACACAGAGCACACCCCAAACACACATACTGAAAACACAATGTGTACACACACAGCACATACACACACATACCACACATAGCACAGACACATAGCACACACGCCACATATACACACACAACATACCTACATGCACACATTATACCACACACACATACCACACATACCGCACATATGTACACACACACACACACACACACACACCACACTACACACAGGCACACACAAACCACACACCACTCTCACGCATGCCTACCCTCAGTAAAGCCAGGCAGGCCAGTGTCCACTCAGTTCATCACTCAGCATTCTGGAGGCTGCGGCAGGAGCATCTTGTGTTCTAGGCCAGTTGGGCTACAGAGAAGGACTCTCTTAGAAAACAGATAAGCTAACAAATAATTATAATTTTATTTACTTCTGGTTTACATTTGGCATAGCCGGGAGTCCTTTCTTCTTCCACAGCATGTGCTAAGAATGTGTGTTCCTCCAGGTCACGTGTCTGGCACATCCGTCTACAGGGAGAAGGAGGATATGTATGACGAGATCATCGAGTTGAAGAAGGTGGGCTCTGCTTTCTTCCCACCAGTGACAGTCCTCTGTAACTAAGAGGCTGTGTCCGTCACACTGGGGCCTGGGCCCTGGCACCAGGCTCTGAGCAGTAGCCACCCTGGCTGGGGGAGGCCTGTCCACCTTCTGCAGAGGAGACATGGGGCTGCCAGGTATGGAGGTGCACCGAGCCATCCCAGCCCTGAGGAGGTAGAGCAGGAGAGTAAGGTGTTCAAGGCCAGCCAGGCAGCGTAGCACATTGCAGGATACTTGAGACCCTGCCTCAAATATACGAACACAGGTCCTCTGAAAGTGCGCACTGAGCAACCTGTAGCCTCAGAACTAGTGTTTCTAGGGAGCATGGACTTTCGCCACACACTGTGACAGGTGGGAGCAAAATGGGACTTCAGCACCTTCTAAAAGAGCCCAGATTCACAGTGCCAGTCTGCAGCACTTTCCACAGCTGGTTGCCATGGCATGGTAAGGGAGAGGTCAAGTGCATGGGTCTCTCCTGCACCCACTGAGTGCCAGGAGTACCCCTGGCACCCTTGCTATCTGGTCTCTTCACTACACATGCCATCCAAGGCTTTAAAAACCTCCTTCAAAGCCAGGTGTGGCTGTAATCCCACCAATTGGGAGTCTGAGGCAGGAGGGTTGCTGTGAGTTCTAGGTCGGTCTATGCTGTAGAGTGAAACTGAACAAAAAAACAAAAAAACTTCCCCAGACCTTGTATGAGTGTAGCTCTCCTTTTTACAATTTTTTTTGCATTGATTTATTTTGTATGTGCTCGCATGCATGTGCATGTGGAGGTTAGAGAACTTTGGGAGAGTCAGTTCTCTCCTTCTACCAGGTCTGTCCTGGGAATTGAACTCAGGTCCTCAGGCTTGGTGGTAAGCCCCTTTACCCACTGAACCATCTTGCCAGCCCCATCCTCTTCCTCTTCTCCAGTCCTTACACATGCAGAAATGTGACGTGGATTTGATGAGAACAAAGCTTCGGCGCTTAGAGGAGGAGAACAACAGGAAGGACCGGCAGATAGAACAACTTCTGGATCCAGGTCGAGTAAGTTCCAGGGCCCGTGGAGGATACAGTGGGGTGGAGAGGAGGAGAGAGACCATGGTCTTCATGCCTTCATCTGCTCACTTGCAGGGCCCGGATTTCGTGCGGACCCTGGCAGAGAAAAAGCCTGATGCTGGTTGGGTGAGTAGAGTCTCCAGTGCCAAAGGGAGCCTTCCACCCAGATCATAGTAGGACTGTGGGCAGGGGAATGGGCGCAGAGCTTTCTAGAACTGTTGTCCATAAAGCCATAGGGGTCATAAGATGGTGCTCTGAAATATGTCAGGGGCCAGCAGGTTTATCAGAAGCTAAGGAAAGGTACAGGGAAAAAAGTCACAGTGAGGGGCTAGAGAGATGACTCAGCAGTTAAGAGCACCAGCTGCTCTTGCAGAGGACCTGGGTTTGGTTCCCAGCACCCACATGGCTAACACCTGTCTGTAACTCCAGTTCCAGGGGATTCAACACCCTCTTATGACCTCCACAAGGTGTTGTATGACACGGGTGTGCTTACATATAAGCAGGCAAAACACTCATATATGTAAAATATGAATAAATAAATTTTTTTTTTAAGCCACAGTGAGGGTTCGGGCCTAGCATGCCTGAGACCCTGGGTGCAGTCCACAGTACCAGAAAAAATAAAAATCACAAGTTTAATAAAAAAAAAAAAAAAAAAAAAAAAAAAAGAAGGTACTTGGAAGGTAGAGACAGGGGAATCAGGAGTTCAAGATCAGCCTCAGCTACATTGAGAGTTGGAGGCCAGCCTGGGATACATGAGACCCTGTCACAAAATATCAAAAACCAAACCAACCAGAAGTCTCAGTGTGCAACTTTCCCATCATAGGCAACCTGTACCTTGTGCTTAACCAGCATTTCTGCTTTAAACATTTTACTTATTTTTATTTTATGTGTACGAGTGTATTGCCTGCATGTATGTGAGTGCACCCGTGTCGTGCAATGCCGTGGATGTCAGAAGACGGCTTCGGATTCCCCTGGAACTGGAGTTAAAGACGGTTTAGTAGCCGCCATGTGGGTGCTGGGAATCAAACCCGGGTCCTCTGCAAGAGCAGTCAGTGCTCTTAACCGCTGAGCCATCTCTCCAGCCCCAGCATTTCTCCTTTAAAACAGAGCAGTAGATGGAAGCCCCTAATTAAAATAGCCAGAAACACCTGCATAGGCTGTGCGACTGTAAGCGCTTGCAGCATGGCCACAGTGTGTCATTTCCCCTCCTCGGGGTGCCGGGGCTGAGAGTGGTGGTTTGGAACTGAGCCCTGCAGCAAAGACCCATACTAAAAGGGAAACAAGGGGTATGACATGACATATCAGGGGAGGACACGTCAGAGAAAAACGCAACATTGTTCTCTGTCCACAATATGTAAAATATCTCTACCAATTGCTAAAGGGTTTCCAGATGTAAGATCTGAAAAACAGGCAAGATGGCTCAATGGGTAAAGGCACCTGCTGCCCAACCTGAGGTCCTAAGTCTGAGGACCTGGAACCCACAAGATGAAAGGAGGAAACAGACTCCTGCAAGTTGTCCTCTGACCTCCACAAGTACACATGGCACTCACCCTCCCCACACAAAATTAATAAATGTAATAAAATTTTTAGATCCGAGAAATAGTAGATATATACTAAATATCATATAGAAACATTTAACACGATTAAAGAAGTCAATACTTGGGGCTGGAGAGATGGCTCAGTGGTTAAGAACACTGGTCGTTCTTGCAGAAGACCTGGGTTTGAATCCCAGCACCCACATGGCAGCTAACAACTGTCCGTAACTCCAGTCCCAGGGTCTCTGACAGCTTCTTCTGTCCTCTTCCGGCTTTGCATGACACGGGTACACTTACCTACATGCAAGCAACACATGCATATACATAAAATAAAAATAGACAGGTGTGGTGGTGCACGCCTGTCGTCCTAGCACTTGGGAGGCAGGTGGATCTCTGTGAGTTCAAATCCAGCCTAGTCTACATAGTGAGTTCCAGGACAGCTCGGGCTACAGGGAGACCCTGTCTCAAAAAGACCAAAAAAATAAATATGTCGCCAGGTGTGGTGGCGCATGCCTTTAATCCCAGCACTCGGGAGGCAGAGGCAGGCGGATCTCTGTGAGTTCAAGGCCAGCCTGGTCTACATAGTGAGTTCCAGAATAGCTGGGGCTACAGGGAGACCCTGTCTCAAAAAGACAAAAAAAAAAGAATTGTCTAGTGAAATTTTTGAAACTAAGTAAACAGCTTTTTTCCTTAAAATAAAATTAAATTAAAATTAATAAAATATTTAAAAAACAAACAAACACCTAAACACTTAGGAATGGTTCACTATGTGTCACAGAAATACTTTATTATTTTATTTCATTTTATTTTATTTTATTTTTTGAGATAGGGTCTTACTATGTAGCCCCAGCTGGCCTGGAACTCACTATATAGACCAGGCTGGCCTCAGTCTCAGAGAGATCTACCTGCCTCTGCCTTCTGAGTGCTGGGATTAAAGGTGTGCACCACCACACCCAGACTTTATTTGATCTTTTGCAAAAAAGCATTTCAGTTCGTGTGTGTGTGTGTGTGTGTGTGTGTGTGTGTCTGTGTGTCTGTGTGTCTGTGTGTGTGTCTGTGTGTGTGTGTGTGTGTGTGTTGGGGGGAGGGTGGTCTGCCTGTGTGCACAGGTGCATGTGCATGTGTACCCATGCACACAAAGGCTAGAGGTTGATGTCAAGTATCTTTTATTATTTCTCCATGTTATTTTATATATTTTTATGTGTATGAGTGTTTGGCCTGCATATATATGTGTACAAGGTGCATACAGTGCCCACAGAGGACAGAAGAGAGCACTAGATACCCTGGACCCCGAGTTACAGACTTTAGCTGCCTTGTGGGTACTGGGAACTGACCCTGGGTCCTCTGCAGGAATAGCCAGTGCTCTTAACTGCTGAGCCATCTCTCCAGCCTCATTGTTAGTTTATTTTAAAAGCTATTTCTCCAGGAGTGGTGGCACACACCTTTAATCCCAGCCCTTGGTAGGAAGAGGCAGGCAGATCTCTGAGTTCCAGGTCAGTCTGGTCTATATTGCAAGTTCCAGGCTAGCCAGGACTACATAGTGAGATCCTGTCTCAAAAAAAATTATTTAAAAAGTCAGCCAAACATGGTGGTGATTATGAGTTCAAAGTCATCCTTGGCTACATGCTGAGCTTGAGGTCAGCCTGAGCTACATGAGACCTTGTCTCAAAAAGAAAAAAGTGTGTGTGTGTAACACTAACTAGATCTCCATAGAGAAAAACCCTGCCTTCTTACTGTTCCAGTGTCAAGTACCTGTGTGTGCACATGCACTTTTATATGTTTGTGGTTGATTCAGAGTAGCAATTCTAAGCATGTCCTGATGGCCCAGGTCTGTAGGAAGGAAGCTGAGGCAGGAAGATCAGAAATTGAAGACCAGCCTTGGCTACATACCGCATTTTAAGCCTGTCTGGGCTACCTAGGAAGACCCTGATCAAATATATATACATTTAAGAAATGTAAGATGTTACCTACCCGTGGAGACATTGACAGAGAAGGAAGGTATGAGCAGCCTCTGTTCCCCTCCTGACACTTGACTGAGTTGTCCCTGGGGCAGGGCAGCATCTAGGTTCTGGTGACTTTGTTATGAAGCAACAGACTGCACATCCTGCCTTTCCCTCAGGTGTGCGGTATGCTCCTGAGGTCAGCTGCCACTGGGCTCTGATGGTTGGGCGTTGCCCTCCTGCCCAGCATCTTGTTCCCCTGATCACTTAGCACTTCAGAAAGTGAGTGAGATGGGGGGGCCCTTAGTCATCACTGGGACCCAGAAAAAAAGACAGTCGGCTAAAGAAGGGTGGGGACGTGTGGAAGTGTCTGCTAGGGAAGAAGCATGGAGTCTGCAGGGCCATCCAGGAAGGATGCCTGACCAGCCTGGGACCCGGAAGGCTTAGGCTGCCGGAACTGTGCTGAGGTGTTGGCCCCCTGTTGGCAGGTTGTCACGGGGCTCAGGCAGAGGATCTTCAGACTGGAGCAGCAGTGCAAGGAAAAGGACAGCACCATCAGGTATGAGCCAAGTGGGCCTGCTGCTGGCAGGGTCCCCAGAGTCTGCTGGGCAGTGTGCTGGGCCAGCTGGGACCCACCTCTCCTCCATCTACCATTTCCATGCTGACCTGTTCTACCTTCTCCCCTCCCCCCACCTCTTTCCATATTTCTGTTCCCACCTTAAATGAGCTACCTCCCCCTGCAACTCTGTGTGTGTGTGTGTGTGTGTGTGTGTGTTGCTGTGACCCCAGGAACTTTCACATGCTAGGCAGGTACTCTACCACTGAGCAACACACTCCCAACCCCTCACTGGGGGATTCTAGGCAGCTGTTCTATCACTGAGCTCCACCCCTCAGCTGTTTTCACTTTGTTTATTTTGAGATAGGGTCTCACTATGTAGTCCTGGCTGGCTTGGAATTTGCTATGTAGTCTAGACTGGCCTTGAATTCACAGAGATCTGCCTGCCTCTGCCTCCTGGTGTGCTGGCATTAAAGGCATTTGCCACCATACCTGGCCACTTCTAATTTTGAGACGGGATCTCATTAAATTGACCAGACTGGCCTTGAACTTACAGTTCTGCCTCAGCCTCTTGAAGAACTGATATGTCAGACCTGCACTATTAGGCCCAGATTTCTCTCTTTAGTTTGCATTCCCTCCAAATTTCACTAGGAAACAGTATTTTCCTTGTGCTTTTTCTTGTGTTGAAGAGATGCTTTCCCTTTTAGCTGCAACTAACCTCTGGTGTCCAGTCTGAATTTTCTAGGTTATTCCCAGACAGCTACTGTCTCTGTGTATGGCTTCCATGTTTCTATCCCACTTCCTTTCTGGTCTTAGCATGAAGGAATAATCTTTCTTGGATGTGGTTATATTGATTTAAGGAGAACTCAAGCAGCCATCTGCACCTGTGTCCTGGTTCTTACCATCGTGGTTTCCACCCCTTGTTTGTTTCTTGTTGACGCTGGCCAGTGTAACCTGTCTGGTTGAGTTTGGATTTCTTGTTTTGTGCTCTGAGCTCTGCTTCCTCTTCTGTGCCTTGTCCCTAAAGACTGACATACTAAGAGTGAGGTGACGGTGCAGTGGAGGAACAGATTTTCTTTTTTTTTTGAGACAGGGTTTTGCTATGTAGTCCAGGCTGGACTTAAATTCATGATCCTCCTACTTCAGCTTACTGAGCACTGGGATGACAGGCATGTGTCACCATACGCAGCTCTATGACTCTTCTTTATAAAGCTGGCTGTTCACCCCACCTGCCCTGAAGGTAGTCTGAGGTCTTTGGGTACAGGTGATCCAAGTGTCTGTTTGAGGGCAGCATCTTTCAGTAGTCTGTGTGCTCATGGGGAGCTCCTGGTCCTACCCAGAAGGATCCTTTCTGATATGAGGATCCTCCTGGAAGTCTGAAAAAGAGTCATGTCTTCAAGCCAACACCAGCTAGGACTTGTTCTCTTCTGAAGCAGGCCCCCCGACCTCTGGCAACCACTCCTCCTCTGCCTGTCTGCTGGGTGCTGGCCTTGCCATGCTAACTCTCAACTTGGGTTTCCAGCAAACTACAGACGGACATGAAGACCACAAACCTGGAGGAGATGCGAATCACCATGGAGACATACTACAAGGAGGTGTGTGCTTCCCCCAAGGACGTAGATGGAAGGGAGGCCGGGTGCTGCCAGTGATGCTCTATCAGACCTATGGCTACACGTGCACTCCTGTTCAACAGGTGTGCAGGTAGGTCGCCACAGCATAGCCACAGCCTAGTTATGGCTCAGTGGCATGAGGCTCAGATGGGGAAGCCACCTTCGGATGAGGGGAGAGCTATCTTCATGCTCTGTCTCACTTGGTCCTCACAGATCCATCGTCTCCAGACCCTCCTGGCAAGTTCTGAAGCCACAGGAAAGAAGTACGTGTGTCTGGCCTTGTCTTGTGTGGGTCTCCGCACTATTGATGCCACTCTGAAAGGCAGGCACTTCCTTCCTGCCAGTGTCTCACCTGCCCTTCACTTGGCAGCTGGGTGGTCCCATGTGTGTTATATACATGTGTACAGGTTTGTGTATGTGTACACATGTACACATTTGGAGGCCAGAAGTCAGTGTCACGTGTTCTATTGATCATTCTCCACCTTATTTTCTGAGCAGGGTCTCTCACTGAACCTGGAACTTACTGATTCAACCAGGCTGACTGGCCAGTGAGCTCCTGGTAGCCTAGGTCCGCTCCCCAGTGCTGGGATTACAGGTGTGCACCACTGTGTCTGGATTTTGAACATGTTTTCAGGGTTGAGCTATCTCCCCTGAATGGTCACACAAACATGCTTCCATTAGCTCTGTTTACAGACTCGTTCTTACTTTTATTTGTTGAGACAGGATCTTACTGTACAGCCCTGACTGGCCTGAAACTCACTGTGTAGACCAGGCTGGCCTCAATCTCACAGAGATCTGCCTGCCTCTGCCTCCCAAGTGCAAAGACTAAATGCATGTGCCACCATGCCAGACCTTTTTTGTATTTAACACTGGGTCTCACTATTAAACCAGGCTGGCCTTGTTCTCATAGAGATCCACCTGCCTCTGCCTCCTGAGTGCCTGGATTAAAGCTGTGTGCCACCATGGCCGGCTTCTTTTTTGGCTTTTTCCAGTGAGTTATATATGCCCTGTGGCAGCTTCTAGCTTAGAACTGGAAAGTGCTGGTTTTTCAAAGCAGCATTATTGGTTTGAAACAAGTTTGCTTTGACACTTCAGTTTTCCCAAGTAAGCTGACTAGGAGAGATAAGGTTTTCTTACTGTGCAGAGTTCCCCTATCCTCTCCCCAAATGATATGATGCCAGTCTGCCAGCAAATTATAGGACTGATGTCTTGGAGCTAGAAAGATGGGTCAGCAGTTACAAGTTCATACAGTTCTTGCAGAGAACCAAGGTTTGGTTCCCAGCACCCACATCAGGAAGCACACAACTGCCTGCAACTCCAGCTCCAGGGGGATCTGATGCCTCTGGCCTCCATGGACATCAGCACACATGCACATACCACAGGCCTCCATGCAAACTGCCAGCCTTTGGGGAGTATCTACACTGCCAGGTGTGGCTATCCCTTTTTCCCTTTACTCCTAGTGACTCCAGACAGGAGCTGGAAAACAGTCTCTTAAAGGGCCAGTTAGAACATAGCTCTGTGGTAAAGCACTTGCCTATCTAAAAAAGAAAAGAAAAAGGAAAAAGCCCAGGTGTGGCCGGATGCGCGCCTGTAACCCCAGTGCTAGGGGGTTGGGGTGAGGGGGACGGACATAGGGGATTGCTGGGACTAACTGACCACCCACCTAGTCCAGGCTCAGTGAGAGACCCTGTCTCAAGGGAATAAGGTGGAGAGTGACAGAGCAGGACTGTGACATCCTCCTCTGGCTCTAGCTCCTGCATCTGTACACACATGTACATATACCACACACAAAGAGATACACACACGCCCTCCAGACCCTATACACAAATACCACACTCATACCACACAGACCTCACATTCAATCCCCCCCACTACACACACTCAATGCAGAGACCCCCACATACCACACACACACATACACCACATGCACTCTCATGCTTCATACAAATACACCACACAGCTCAGACACACAGACCCCACACACATTCATTCACGTTCACATACCCACACATTGTCACCATACATACCCAGAGACACACAGAGACATACACGTGTGCACATACATCATGGCATGCACACAGAGAGACATACATGTGTATGTATACCTCATAGCACACACATGTACACACAGTACACACATATGCAACACTCACACATGCACACAGACACACACAGTCCAGATGTTATTTGCAGTGAACGAATGCTCTGACATTTCCAGGGATACTGGATGTAGACTTAGGTTCCTGTGGCCTCTGGTCACATTTTCATCAAGAACAGACTGAGCTTGGTTTTCTGTGTTTCTCTTTAAAGACACCTCGCACGCAGTGTTGATTCGTTAACATTGAACCTGAGGCCAACAGCCCTCTCCCACAGGCCTGAGAGCCAGCTTCATCTCATAGGGTCCTCTTCAAGGTGCACCACAGCATTGGGAACACTAGAGGGCTCTCAGCACACTGCTACTTTTAGTGTCTTATGCATGAATGTGTATGTGTTTGTGTGTGTTTGTATTTGTGGTTCTAACAGTCAAACCTCACACATGCTAGGCAAGCATCCTGCCACCTGAGCTACGTCCCCAGCCCCTTCAGGGCCAGCACCTGCACAAAGCACAAGAAAAGTCAAATAGAACTGGGTCTGGTAACAGAGCCCTGTCAAACCAGCACTCAGGTGGAAGCAGGGAGATTGTGACTTCCAGGCCAGCCTGGGCTATGTATCAAGACCCTGTCTCAGAAAAATTAAATGAATGGGCTTGGGCTGTAGTTCAGCTGGTAGAATGCTTATCTAGCATACAGGAAGCCCCAGGTTCCAACCCCAGCATCACATAAACTGGGTGTGGTGCTGCACATCTGTAATCCCAGCACTCAGGTAGAGTCAGAGGGATCAGGAATTTAGGTCATTCTTGGCTCCATAGTGAGTTCAAGGCCAGCCTGGGGTATATGAGACCCTATCTCAAAAAAACTCTATTATGAGGATTTTCATTCTGCTAATCTGGTTCAGAATTAGTGTTTCCCATTCAGCTGTTAATATTTATGTGTATGAGCCTCTCGTGGCTCAGAGCCCATCAGAAGCAGGCCTTGTCCCTTTGTTCGAGACACTGAATCAGTCAGCCCATGCTCTTGTTCCCAGACCCACAATGGAGAAGAAGCTGGGTATGAAGAGGCAGAAGATGAGCAGTACTCTGCTGAACTTGACCCAGAGCATGCAGGAGCTGACAGAGGAGAACCAGAGCCTCGAGGACCTGGACCGCATGCTGAGCAACTCCCCTGGTGGCTCCAAGATAAAGGGTATTGGCCCACAGGCGACTCCCAGAGGAGACAAGAGGGGAAGGGTCAAGTCTCCTTCTGTGGCCAAAGATGGGGGGGCACAGGAACTCGTGGCCCAGGACATTCATTCAGCCATGAAGTCCCTAGGTCCTAGGCCTCATAGCAGGCATGTTCCCATTAGCCTGTGCAAAAGGGGAAACTGGAGCAGGTGCTGCACACTTGTTGAGAGAGAGAGAGAGAGCGAGAGAGTGTGCGCAGGTGGCCTGGCCTGCAGGGCTGCAGATGTGCTGAGATCTAGTTCTGGACCCTCTTGATCAGAGAACCTGTGAGAAGCACATACTGGTAGAGCCTGGGAGAGAGTCAAGCTCTAGGGCTTCTGTTTTGGTTTACAGTACTGGGGATAGAGTCCCAGGCCTCACATGGGCCAGGCAAGTACTCCACCACTGAGCCTCGCTCCCAACCCCCCACCCCAGGGCTTTCTGTCCGAGCAACTGAGAGGACAGACTCAACATTTCAGGGAGGGGGCAGGAGCAGATCTGGGGAGGAAGGACAGGTGAGGCCTGAGGCAGGTGCTGGAGAACTGGATGTGCTGGCCCTTAGTGAATAGACAGGGCCAAGTGAGGGCACCCTGCAAGGTGGGCAGCAGAGAGGAACAAGGCCAAGTCCTAAGCCCAGTGGCATTTGGAAGGTTGGGAGATGAGGGCCGGCCGGCCAACCAGTGAGGAGTGGCTGGGGTGGGAGTGTGAAAACTAGGCCTAGGCCTTGGAGAGCCTGAAATGGTGGGAGGAGGAGGCAGCAGACATGCTGGGTGTGTCCAGGGTAGAGAGTAAGAATGGAGTTTGGGGGTTAGAGTGAAAATCATCAGATCCAGGGATGTAGCTCAGGTGGTGGAGCACTCTTCTAGCATGCATGAAGCCCTGGCTTCCATCCCTAGCACCATATAAACCAGGCATGGTAGTGCATGCCTGTAATCCTAGCACTCAGGAGGTAGAGGCAGGAAGATCAGAAGTCATCGTCAGCTAGATAGCAAGTTTGAGGCCAGCCTGGGCTACATGAGATCCTGTCTCCTTATAGACAAGGGGGTATGTAAGAAACCCTCAGGTGGCAAGTATCTGACTGACAGGAGTCTTGTCAGCCTGTGCTGCCAGCCTGTGCAAGGGGAGGCTGTGAGGCTATGTCTGAGTTCGTTGGTCTGGCTAAAGGGCCGATTAGGACTGTCTTGTAAACCTGTTGCCCTCCTTAGGTTACGTGGACTGGAGCAAACCCCGGCTGCTGAGACGTATCGCAGAGTTGGAAAAGGTGAGTGCGCACCTAATATCCCCTGCCACCCTGCGCCGGTCCAGGGAGCAGCTGCTGTCTGGTTTTGTGGGAGATGGTGTTGCGGAGTGAGATAAGTCACCAAACACATAAATGGGGGTGCTCAGCAGGCTTTAACAAGTATGGACAGGAAAGAGAGAACTCCCTGTGGGTCTGGACAAGACTTGGGATTGTGTCATTCATTTCAAAGGGCCAGGTTGCAGTCCCCCACACAGGACACATTGCTGGGCTTTTTGTAGCCACAAGTGGATGTATTTGACCATGGACTGCCTACAGTCTAGCCTGGTGCATTCACATGTCTGCCAATCAATCCCAAACTCTATCTCCTGCATAATACTTGAATTTTTAACAGATCCTTTCATGCACACTCCTGACCAGCAAACCCAGGAGGCTAGCATTTCCTCACCTCCTACCCACGCTCCAGCCCTACAGAGTTATTTGATCTTGGGGAACCTGTCTGTCCTGTTAGAATCATAAGCTAGAGTGCCAAGGATATAGCTTGGTGGTACAGGGTTTGCCTAGACAATCAATGGAGAGCAGCTCAGTAGTAGAGCTACTGCCCAGAATCCACCAATGAGGGGCTGGCAGTGTGGCTGGGCAGTAGTGTTTGTCTAGAATTCCTCAGCTAGGACTGAGGCTGTGGCTAAGCAGTAGAGCACTTGCTTAGAATTCCCCAGTTAGAGACTGAGGATGTGGCTCAATGGTAGAACATCTGCCTAAAATCCTCCAGTGAGGAGCTGAGGGTATGGCCTAGTGGTACAGAGCTTACCTAGTGTGGGTTCCATCCCCAGTACTTAAAAAGGAGCTAGGATCTCCCAGTTGTTTGGCAAAGCTATGCAAGCCCAAAGGAGAATGCTTTAAATAGTCACACATTGACAAAGTAGAAAGCAAAAGAAGTTTCTGTGCAATGGGAATATTTTATAAGTAAAGCATGCTGGGAAATAGAGGAAACCCAAACAAGTTCAGAATCCCAGTGGGAAAGGCCTAGGGGAATAGGGTCACTTTGCATACAGAACTGAAACGGGGTAAGGTCAAAAGCAAAAGCATTGGAAACTCAGACGTCCCTGCACCCCCCTCGCCTGCTTTCCGCCCTCATGTCTTCTTGCAGGAGGGTGAGGGCTCTCTGTCCCAGCCCTGCCTTTGGGTCCAGCCAGCAGTTTCCCACTTTGGAGTTTGGCTGCTGGGAAAGTGCACCCTCCCAGTGGACAGTCTGGCTGACTAGGGTCCCACAGTGATGCTTCTCCCACAGCCCTGCTGGGTTTTACCAACAGAAGAAACAACAGAAGTAGGTCTAACAAATGCCTATGTTACCTCCAGAAAATAAGTTCTTTGGAGAAGCCATCCACTTCAGAACTGATCAGGTCGAATCCCCTGATCCACTCCTCATCCAACATCTCAACACCCAAGCAGCCCAAAGGAGACCAGCCCAGAGTGGACAGCCCCAAAGGGGACCAGTCCAGAGTGGAAACCCCCAAAGGGGACCAGCCCAAAGTGGACAGCCCCAAAGGGAACCAGCCCAAAGTGGACCAGTCTGAGGACCAGGAGCGCCTCAGAGGAACTGTGAAGAACCTGAAAGTAGAGCGGAATGCACTGCGGGCACAGCTGCTGGAGAAGGAGTAAGTGATCCCAACTTGAATTCTGGAACTGAAGTGCTCAGCCTGTAGGAGTCAGTACGTAGATGCTTTATGGGATGAAACACCTGTGTCACAGCTGTGAGATAAGAGCTGTATAGCCCGGTGTGACAATGTTTGTAATCCCAGCACTCAGGAGGCACAGGCAGGAAGATCACAAGGTCCAGGTCAGCCTCTGCTATAAGAGAAAATTCCTGGCCAGCCTGGGTTGCATAGTAAGACACTTTCTTAAAAAGAAAAAGATGGGACTAGAGAGATGGCTCAGCAGTTAAGAGCACTGGTTGCTCTTGCAGAGGATCCAGGTTCAGTTCCCAGCACCCACATGGCAGATAACAACTATCTGTAATTCCAGTTCCAGGGGATCTGATGCCCTCTTCTAACCTCCGTGGGCATTGCATGACATGGGTGTACTTACATGCAGGCAAAATATCCATACACATAAAATAAAAATAATAAAATATTTTAAAAGGGAGGGGAGCCTGGGGAGCCAGGCATGGTAGTAAATGCCCTTAATCCCAGCACTCAGGAGGCAGAGGCAGGAGGATATATGTGAGATCAAGACTAGCCTTGACTACCTAGCAAGTTCCAGGCCAGCTGGGGCTACAGGAAGACCTTGTCTCAAAAAAACAAACTGAAAAGGAGATGGAGGACTTAAGAGGTATCTCATTCAGTAAAACGCTTGCCATGCAAGCATGAGGACCTGGGTTTGACCCCCCAAGACCCAAGCCAGGCATGGTGGCATGTGCTTCCTATCCCTGTGCTGGGGAGGCAGAGACAGGTGGGTCCCAGGGACTCACTGGCCAGCCAGCCTAGCCTACTTGGTGAGTTCTAGGCCAATGAGAGAGATCCTGTCTCAAAAACAGAAAAAAAGGAAAGGATAGACAGTACCTGAGGAACAACACCTGAGGTTGTCCTCTGGCCTGTATATACACATGACACACACATGTGCACACACATACAACTTGCTTTATTGTTAAAGGGAAGACACTGAGTGGCTATATTACATCATTAGAAGTGGGGAGGAGATGAACAGGATGGAGGCTCAGTGGGTAAAGGTGCTTGCCACCAAGCTTGATGACCTAATTTAATCTCCAGAACCCACATGGTGAAGGAAGGAACCAACTCCTGTAAGTTGTTTTCTGACAGCCACACAGGTGTCATGGCACATGTGGCCACATGTATATACATACAGTAAGTAAAGAAATAATAAAATTTTTATTTAAAAAAAATGGAGAGGGGTTGGGGATTTAGCTCAGTGGTAGAGCGCTTGCCTAGCAAGCGCAAGGCTCTGGGTTTAGTCCCCGGCTTTGGAATTAAAAAAAAAAAAAGAACCAACGAGTGCAAATCATCTTGTAAATCTTCATTGTTTAACTTAGTTATTCACAGCCCAACTGACTTAAAAAGGACTAAATCAGTCAATATTTATTATTATGGATCAGTATTTCCCACAGCTGGGGCTACAGGAAGACCTTGTCTCAAAAAAACAAACTGAAAAGGAGATGGAGGACTTAAGAGGTATCTCATTCAGTAAAACGCTTGCCATGCAAGCATGAGGACCTGGGTTTGACCCCCCAAGACCCAAGCCAGGCATGGTGGCATGTGCTTCCTATCCCTGTGCTGGGGAGGCAGAGACAGGTGGGTCCCAGGGACTCACTGGCCAGCCAGCCTAGCCTACTTGGTGAGTTCTAGGCCAATGAGAGAGATCCTGTCTCAAAAACAGAAAAAAAGGAAAGGATAGACAGTACCTGAGGAACAACACCTGAGGTTGTCCTCTGGCCTGTATATACACATGACACACACATGTGCACACACATACAACTTGCTTTATTGTTAAAGGGAAGACACTGAGTGGCTATATTACATCATTAGAAGTGGGGAGGAGATGAACAGGATGGAGGCTCAGTGGGTAAAGGTGCTTGCCACCAAGCTTGATGACCTAATTTAATCTCCAGAACCCACATGGTGAAGGAAGGAACCAACTCCTGTAAGTTGTTTTCTGACAGCCACACAGGTGTCATGGCACATGTGGCCACATGTATATACATACAGTAAGTAAAGAAATAATAAAATTTTTATTTAAAAAAAATGGAGAGGGGTTGGGGATTTAGCTCAGTGGTAGAGCGCTTGCCTAGCAAGCGCAAGGCTCTGGGTTTAGTCCCCGGCTTTGAAAAAAAAAAAAGACAAAAAAATGGGGACGGCTGAGGATACTTGTGCATGCACACACAAACACACACATACACACTCAGAGGAGGCAGGAAGCATAGCATGTACCTTTAAAATTGTATTTTTATATGTGCAAGGTGGGGGGGTGCACATGCCATGTCATACATGTGGAAGTCAGGAGAACAACTCCAGAGTCACTTCTCTCCTTCCACCTTCACATTTGTTCTGGGGATCGAACCCAGGTCAGCAGGCTTCCATGGCAAGCCTGTTTAGCCACTGAACTGTCTCTGAGGTCCAACATGTATCTCTCCACTGATTTCCAGAGGAATTCTCAGTGTTTCTTAGAGAAGACTACGATCATTGACTTGTATAAAATGGATTACACTTTAGAGAGGTCTTAAAATTTAGTACCATGTTCACTGCCTGTGGTCTGTATATCAAAACCGAAAGGCTGTCAAATACTCAGTGAGCCCTACCTAGAAGTGGAAGGCTCAGACCCACCTGGGCTCTGTAGTTTTCTTAGTCCACTTAGCATGTGTCCTGGCACCTGTCTCCCCACCCTTGCTTATGGCTTAGTTGAGGTCTTATGAGATGATGGAGATCAGGTGTGCAAAGCTACTCAGTCCTCTAAGGAGTTGGGAGCATCAGTCACCTCTGAGCTGGTTGTGGATGACTTTGGGCTTTGGGCCACGCCCATCTGGAAGCTGGTTGGAACCAGGGGGCTTTAGGCCACACCCACCTGGAAGCTGATTGGGAGTAAAGAGTTTTGAGCCACACCCACCTGGAAGCTGGTAAGGCAACGCCCTCAGGAACTCATTGGGAAGGATGGAGGGCTTCGGCTTATGTCCACCCCGGAAGCTGGTAGATGAAGCAAGGTCTCTGGCCCCGCCCATGAGGGAGCTTGTTGGGGTTGAAGGCTCAGGAGACGTTAGGGATGCCGGCCTTGTCTCTCCCCACACCCCTCAAATCCTGGAAGCTGGCTGGGAATGCAGGGTTTCAAGCCTCACCCTCTGGGAGCTGGTTGGGGATACAGGATTTCAAGCCTGACTCATCTAATAAGAGGTGGCATAGAAGACCTTAGGACCCGCCAGCTACCTGTGAATACAACGCCTCGGGACCCAGCTGGAGCTGGCTTGGGATGCCTACCTTATGGCCTCAAGCTCTGGAGAGCTAGTTGGAGGCTGCAGGGCCTTAAGCCCTGCCCACCCAGGCACTTGTGGTGGTGGTGGTGGAGGGGGGAATGTAGGTTCTTGGGCCTTGCCCACGTGAGAGCTGGTTGGAGATGAGGGCCTCAGGTCCTGCCCTCCTGGAAGCTAGTTAGGAATGAAGGGTTTGAAGCTATACTGGGAGCAGGTTAGGAATGAGGCCCTCAGGCCCCACCCACTGGGAGCAGGTTAGGAATAGAGACCTCAGGCCCCCACCCACTGGGAGCAGGTTAGGAATGAGGCCCTCAGACCCCACCCACTGGGGGCAGGTTAGGAATGGAGGCCCTGAGGCTCCGCCCACTTGGAGCAGGTTAGGAATGGAGGCCCTGAGGCCCCACCCACTGGGAGCAGGTTAGGAATAGAGACCTCAGCCCCCGCCCACTGGGAGTAGGTTAGGAATGGAGGACTTCAGGCTCACTCACAGGGAGCAGGTTAGGAATAGAGGCTCTCAGGCCCCACTCACTGGGAGCCGGCTAAAGAAGCAGGCCAACACCAGGCAGCTCACAACCACCTGAAACTCTAGCTCCAGGGGATTTGATGCCTCTGGACTCTGCAGGCACTGCACTCACATTCACATACCTACACACAGACACACAGTTCCATAATTAAACTAAATCTTAAAATTAAAAAAATCAGCATTTCATTGAAAGGTTTTTCAATCCTGCTGGTGAGCCAGCAAGATAACTCAGTAGGTGAAGGTGCCACCAAGCCTGATGACCTGAGTTCAATCCCTGGGACCCATATGGTACAAGGACAAAGAAGTGACTTGCACAAATTGCCCTCTGGCCTCCACATGTGTGCCATGGTGCACACACATCCTCACACAAACACACAAAAAATAAGGATAAAAATATTTTAAATTACACTGGCCATTTTGAAGGGTAAGTAACATCGAGCGTTATCTATGAAGTTGTCATTGATGAAAAACAGCCCTCAAGGTGGGCCTGGTGGTGTATGCCTTTCATCCCAGCACTGGAGAAGCAGAAGCAGGTGGATCTCTGTGAGTTCAAGATCAGCCTGGTCTGTACAGGCCAACTGGGACTACAGGGAGACCCTGTCTCAAAAAGACCAAAAAAAAACCCAAAAGCCCTCATCTCAATGGTAATAACAGATTCTGCAGCCAAATATCAGTGGCTATGGCCTGGGAGCACAGATTCAGGTCACCTCAATGCCATGTTCCAGTGTGGTAACAGTTTGATGAGGTTTTTATAATAAGAGAACAAAGAAAGTCATAAATCAAGGCACTTTAAAATATACTCACGGATGGGACTGGAGAGGTGACTCAGGATAAGAGCACTTGCTGCTCTCCAGAGGCCACAGGTTCGACTCCTAGCACACATGTGTTGTCCTCTTTCAGCCTTTGAGACCACTATATACATAGCAGTAAACACCAGCAATCAAAACACTTGTACAAAGAATAAATCATTAAGCTGGGTGTTGTGGCACACACCTTTAAATCAATCCTAGCACTTCGCAGGCAGAAGCAGGCAGATGTCTGTGAGTTTGAGGCCAGCCTGGTCTACATGGCGAGTTCCAGGTAAGCTAAGGCTACATGGAAACCCTGTCTCAAAATACCAAAAAATAAATAAAATAAAAATAAATCATTAAAAAAAATATACCCGTGGAGACCTTAGGTAAGCAGGTTACAGCAAAACAGAGAAAATTCAGCTGTAGGCCTCAGGTGCTGTCTGCTAGCAGCCTCTGGGTTACTAGGAGCCAGGGGTCTGCGTTCATTCCAAAATGATTTACCTCTTAAGTCACAAGGATGGAAGTTAGGTCAAATATGGGTGGGCAGTCAGTGGCTATTTAGGGGGCTTAAGATAGCCCAAGATTAGGAGACCCTGGGCCTGTAACATTCCAACTCACTAGTCATAGCTCTCATTCAGCCAGCCTATCGCAAGCTTAGTTTGCGAATTTCATTTCACACTACCAAGTGACCTGATGGCTACCATTTAGAGCCCTTACCTTGACAAGCACCCTGATACACAATTACTGTGGAGATTCAGGACCTGGAAAAATAGGGTCACTGGCAGTAAGTGGAGGGTCTGAGTTTTAGACATTTATGTGACTGTTGTTCTCCATTATGTTGAGGTCTGTCCCAGGGCAGGACCTTACCTGCTTTCACTCCTCTCAACTCCAGCCTGTCACAGTCCCTCTTACACAGTACTCTTCATGGCCCAGTCAGGACCCTCAGGGATGCTCTAACACTGTCATTAGGGCCAAGGGCCTGCCTAGAAAGAGTGATGTGCTCAGAGCAGGGTTGTCCTGCTCTGGGAGGACCTGAAGTCACAGGGTTTAACGACCATAGAAATGTCTCTGGTTGTATGCACTCAGCGTGGAGGTGAAGCAGCTGCTCCAGGCCAAAGTGGACTTGGAGAAAGAGCTGGAGATGGCCAGGGAAGCAGAGAAGGAGAGACAGGAGCGGGAGCAGGCTTTGAAGTAAGTGTTTTGAATTTGATTTATGTGTATGTCTGTATGTGTATCCCACATGACTTCAGGTACCCTATGAGTCCAGAAGAGGATGCTGGGTTCCCTGGAGCTGGAGTTACAGGCAGTTGTGAGCTACCTGATATGAGTGCTGGGAACCAAACTCAAATTCTTTGAAAGAGCAGAAAATGCTCTTAACCACTGATCCATTTCTCCAGCCCCAGTACACTGAATTTGAGTAGTGTTTTCAGTTGTTTTGATTTGACCCAGGATCCCACTATATAGCCCAGACTGGCCTCAATTTGGAATCCTCCTGCCTCACCTCTCAATTGGTGTTCACAGGTATGTTCTACCATGCCTGGGTGAACTGTTATTTGTGACAGGGTTTCATATGCCCCAGGCTGGCTTTGAACTTGCTGTGTAGCTGATAACCTTGAATTTTTATCTTCCTGTTTCCCTGGAGCCTCCCGAGTGCTGGGATTTCAGTTGTGTACCACCATGCCCTTTTGTGCAGTGCTGGGGATGGAAGCCAGGGCTTTGGACTTTCCTAGGCAAACTGCCACTGAACTACATACATCCCATCCCTCTTTTTCCAACTCAAAGGGTGTTTCACAAATGGTGCTGGCCCCAGCATCTTCAGCTCCACTCTCGAGGGCTCTCCACACACAACTGACAACTTAGAAAGTCCCTGCAGTGGAGTTCTGGTTGTCACCACCTCCCCTGAAACCTGTCCTATCTGTCTCTACACAGCACTACCCACACTACTGTGAGACAGCCCTTCTTCACCCAGTGATGACTAAGATGTTTTGTTGTTGTTATTATTTTGGGTGTTGTTGTTGTTGTTATTTGTTTGAACAGGGTCTCCCTGAAGCCCCAACCGGCCTGGAACTTGATATGTAGATCAGGCTGGCCTCAATCTCACAGAGATCCACCTGCCTCTGTCTCCCAAGTATTGGGATTAAAGGCGTGCGCCACCACCCCAGGCTAAAATGTCATCTTTTTCCTTTCCACTTTAGAGAGGAAATTGAAACACTCACCAGCAAGTGTCAAGAACTGGAAGAAGCTAAGAAACAAGAGAGAGATGCTCTCGTGGCAGCGGCTCAGGAGGTACCATGTAGTGTGTTCCTCTCTCACCCATTAGGCCTGCTGGGGCTTGTCACTCCACAGGTGCTCAGCAGTGTCTTCACACCCAACCTCTCTAGAACCAAGTGTGCTGATCCACCACCTGTTGCCTACCTAGATCTCTGTAACCTGAGTGGTGTGTGTAGAGACCCTGCATCCTGGGAGACCCAGTGTCAATGAACACCTTCTTAGTCCGGTCTTGGGTCTTAGGCAGTTTGGGTAGGTGAGAGAAAAGCTTCCCTGGCCACAAGCACAAAGTAGGTGCAGCTCTGAGACAGGGCTGTTTGCTGAAACAAGGAGACCAGAAAGGAAGGGTTGGAAGGAGGAATAGCCAAAGATGCCCCGCCCCAACCCACATGGATGAGAATTCCAGAACATGCCTGGCTGCACAGGTCTCTTGCACACCATACCTGTCCCTCCCCCACTCTTCTGTTTTTGTTTAGTTTGGTTTTTATAGTACTGGGGATTGAACTTAGGGCCTCACACATGCTAGACAAGAGTTCTAGCAAGGAGCCACGCCCCCCAGCCCCTCACTAGGGATTCTGGGCAGGTTCTCTAACACTGAGCCACACCCCTCAACCCCTCACTGGGAGATTCTAGGCAGGTGCTCTAACACTGAGCTACTGTCCCAGCCCACTTACTTTGAAACGAGATCTCAGTTGTCTTGACCTCACTGTATAGCCCAGGCTAACCTTGAGCTTAGTCCTCCTTCATCAGCTTCCCAGATGATGGGGTTACAAGTCTGTGCCATCAGCCCTCTCCTCTTTTTTGATGGAAGTCACACAAGCTAGGCTTTGTGGCCGGAGAGTGACCTAGCTGTTCTCTGCCCCTGGGGATCAGTTGAGAAACTCTGTGGTCCCTATTGGCTACTGCTGCCGACATTTGCACTTATGGTAGGTACCCCTTGCTAATCCATGTCCCATGAGTGGGTTCTTTATACAGCTAATGTGATTTAACATCTACACAGGTGGAAACTAGTATCTCAGGAGCTAAACTCCTGTGGCCACATTTGCTCTAGAAGGGCCTGCCCCGTGAATGCACAGTAGATAAACCCTCGAGGACTAAGCATGGTGATCCCAGCCCTCAGGAGGCAGAGTTAGGAACATCAGGAGTTCAAGGCCAGCCAGGGGGGCCGGGGAGATGGCTCAGCAGGTAAGAGTGCTTGCTATGCAATCATGAGGATATGAATTGAAATCTTCAGCACCCAGGTAAAGTCAACTATAGCTGCATGTGTGCCTATAACCACAGTACTGTGGGGAACAGAGACAGGAAGATCATTGGGGCTTGCTGACTGCCAGCCTAGTTACAGGTTCAAGGGAATAAAGTGGACAGTGATGTAGCAGGACACTGATGACTTCCTCGGGCTGCACACATACAATATACACTTACATATACAATATACATTCACACACACAGGAGGCAGGAATCACAGGGAGAGCCTTGGCCAGGGCCTTCACTGTGGGTGGGACAGGACAGGCAGAGGACACAGCTCAGTGGCCAGGAGGTTGGCTGGTTTGAACAGTTCTGGTGACCTCTGAGCTTAGGGTGTCCTAGTTACCAGGTACCTGGTCCTGACGGGTGGAGAATAGAGGACACTAGCTTGGGGCGTGAACATTGCACAGAGGAGGAGGGTGGGGTGTGACTGAGCCTGGTGGATTGCCTGTGAAGGGTCCCTCATATACCCCTTCTTGTCCTGCAGTATGTCCCATCTGTCAGGTCAGCCAGGCCCCATGTGTCAGAGAATAATAAAGTATAGAAAATAAAAATCTTGGGGCTGGAGAGATGGCTTAGCGGTTAAGAACACTGAATGTTCTTGCAGAAGACCCAGGTTCGAATCCCAGCACCCACATGGCAGCTAACAACTGTCTGTAACTCCAATTCCAGGGGATCTGACAGCCTCTTCTGTCCTCCACGGGCATTGCACAACACGGGTGCACTTACCTACATGCAGGCAATACGTGCATACACATAAGAATAAAATAAATAAAATATATATTTTTAAATCTTGGTTTCTATGCTGACTGGCTCAGTTGTGGCCTTCAGCTGCACCAGCCTCCACCTGGGTGTGTATATCTCTCACTTGCCTGGGAAGGCTGTCTGTAGCAGCGTGCTCCGCAATGAACCTTCTTTCTCCTTTTCTTGAGAAAGGGTCTCATGTAGTCCATGAGACAAAAGCCTCCTCATGTAGGCTTTGAATTTGCTTTATAGCCAAGGATGACCTTGAGCTCTGTTCCCTTTGCCTCCACCTCTTGAGTACTGGGGTTATAGGCATGTGTCTGTCACCAAGTCCGATTTATGAGATGCTAGGGATGGAACCCAGGACTTTGTGCATGCTAGGTAAGCACTCTACCAACTGAGCCACATCCCCAGCCCTAAACTTGCCCTTGTGTGTAGAGATAGGTACATGTGTACAGACATGTAAAGACCAGAGGTAAACCTCAGGTATTGAGCTGTCCACCTTGTTTTTTGAAACAAGTAGGGTAGGCTGGCTGGTCATTAAGCCTGTCTCTGCCTCTAAGGGCTAGGATTCTAAGCACACACACCCCCATACCTGCCCTTTTACGTAGGTCCTGGGGATCTGAACTCAAGTCCTCATGCTTACCACACATCTGACTGAGACTGGGCCATCTCCCCAGCACTGAACATGCCTTTTTGATGTGAGAAAAATAGCCAGGTATTTTTACTTTCATTGAGAACAGCCCTTGTGGATGGCAAATTTCAAGGGCCTTAACTGGCAGAAGTCAGATGGTGTTTTAGTGGTACAACCACAGTGCCTGCTTCTTTCTGCCAAAAACCACATTAGAAGTATCTTCACTTCAGCCTCCCAAATCCCACTTTCATCATGTAGCATTAAACTTTAAAAAAGAGCCCAAAAAGGCCCGCCAGTGTGCAAGGCTCAGACTTAGTGGTACAACCACAGTGCCTGCTTCTTTCTACCAAAAACCACATTAGAAGTATCTTCACTTCAGCTCCCAAATCCCACTTTCATCATGTAGCATTAAACTTTAAAAAAGAGCCCAAAAAGGCCCGCCAGTGTGCAAGGCTCAGACTTCCTTTTAAGTCTCTTGTCTGATGAGCGTGCCTGCCACCCCGCTGGGTAATATCCTGGTTAATATCCTGCCCATTGCTTGCTGCTGATCTCTCTAAAGCAGCCACCCCCTTTCATTTCCTGCAGGCCCACCAAGCGCTCCATATACCTTCGGCCTGCAGTAAGCACTCACAGCCAGACGACTCTGAGCCAGACTCCCACAACAGTGGCTCCCGGCCTTCCACCCCCTGCTCCGAAGAGAAGAGAGAGGCTGCCGCCAAGACCCTCCAGGCCCAGTGGAGGGCCTACAGGGGCAAAGTGAGCGTCCCCGTCTGCCCAGCTGTAGAAAGCATCCCATGTCGATATGTTCACTCAACTGGCATATTCAGCACATCTACTCAACACATCCACCCACCTGTGTCATCAGTCACTGTCCTAATTTCGTTTCTGTTGCTGTGATAATACACTGACCAAAAACAGCTTGGGGAAGAAGGGTTTATTTCATTATACTTCCAAGCAGTGAGGGAAGTCAGGGCAGGAACTCAAGTGGAGGCAATGGAGGAACGCTGCCCGGTGGCTGGCTTGCTTCCCGGGCCTCCTCCGCTGCTTTTTTTTTTTTTTTTTAACACCCCAGGTCCACCTGCCTAGGGATGGCACTGCTGACAGTGGCCTGGGCCTGCCTACATCAGTTAGCAATCAAGAAAATTAAGAGAACAGAAAAGAAGATGCCTCACAGACATGTCCACAGGCCAATCCCATGGGGAAGTTCCTCAGTTGAGGTTCTCTTTTCCCAAGTGTGAAGATGACAAAAAACTAACCAGCACAGCTGGTACTTAGACTGGGACAGCCCACCGAAGGTGGCTGCTAGTGCTGGCCTCTTGAAAGGAAAGGTGATGCAGGCCTGTACTCCCAGCACTCAAGAGGATCAGGAGTTCAGGGTTAGTCTCAGCTTGAGGTCAGCTTGGATCACATGAGACTCTGTCTCAAACAAATAAACTGGCAACAGTGCAGTGACCTGCAGAGAGTGAGTCTTGGCCTCACTGCCCTTAGCGGTCCCTTGTGGGCCGTGGCTTTGACCTTCTTGGATGGCCGTGGACGGACTGCTTTCCAGGCCCATGTCTCTGCTTGATATGGGCTTCCTTTGTGTAAGCAGTGTAGCATTCCATGAGCTTGGGTGCTCCTAAGGAAGGCAGGCAGACGCCTCCTTGTTAAGTAAACCCTGGCTCCACGGATGGTCCCCTCTGCAGCACAGATGCTCCTCCTTGACTCTTCCCCCACCCTCCTAGGAGGAGTGTTAATATGGGCTCAAATGTTTTAATTTATTGACTCTCTTAAAATTAGTTTCAGCTGTTATTCTCTTTAATATTTAATATTCAAATCATTCCAGTGTGGTCCAGAGAGTCCCTGGGCTCTGACCCCTGTGGCTTTTGTCGTACTGAGCATGTCTTTGATTTCTAGCATAAGAAAATTCTGAGCCAACCTCTGCTACACCTGGACCTTTGCTATTGGGTCTTAGAAACCACTTGCCTACTGGTCCGAAGCCCTTGTTGGCTGTAGCTGAGCAGATGGAGGTGTAGAAAGTAGGGAGGTAGGTGATGATAGTTTGGAGATTGAATTACCATCAAAGCACATGATGTACTTGAACAAAATGTCACGAAACCCATTGCTTGACACAACATAGGTTACTTTCTCATTGCTGTAACAAAATGCCTGACCTGAAGCAACTTTAAAAGGAAAGGGTTTATTGTGGGTCACAGTTTGAGGGCGCAGTCCATCATGATGGAAAGGTGTGGTGGCAGTAACATGAGGCAGCTGGTCACATGGCATCCACAGTCAGGAAGCAGAGAGATGGATGCTGGTGCTCAGCTCACTTTCTCCACTTTTTCAGTCAGGACCCCAGCCCAGGGGATGGTGCTGCCCACATTCAGGGTGGGTCTTCCCTCCTCAGTTAACCCAGTCTAGAAACTCCCTCACAGATGGGCCCAGAGGTGTGTCTGCCAGGTGATTCTAAGTCTCGTCAAGTTGACAGTGAAGTTTAGCCATCACATGTACTAACAAGAATGGGTTCTTAAGGAGTGGAAAGCATGGAGACTTTTCTCACCTTCATTTCCTCTTTTTATTTCTTTGTTTCAGAAAAGAGAGGCTGCACTGGATGAGGTAAGCCAGGCTGATTTCACCAGTCAAAACACCTATATTTACTTTGGTGTAAAGTAACCAAAAATAGTGAGAAGTGTGTGTGTGTGTGTGTGTGTGTGTGTGTGTGTGTGTGTGTGTGATGTATGTGCATATAGGAGGGGGCCTGCTCTGCACTCTCTCGACCTCATTCTCTTGAGACAAGGCCTCCCTCTCACTGAACCTGGAGCTAGGCTCACTTCCAGAAAACACCAGTGGTTCTTCTATCTCTGCCACTGAGTGTTCTATCACTGAACTCAGCCCTTCACTGGGGGATTCTAGGCAAGAGCTCTACCACTGAGTCACACCCTGACCTATCTGGGGCCTCTAGTGGCAGCCAAGGGCAGCAAGCAGCATGGCACTGTGCAGACACTGAGAACAGGTGGCAGCGGGAGAGGCCACATGACACAGCAGACCAAAGAGGCCCTGCTTCAGGGCAGCGGCCCTACAGTGGCCTCAGCAGTGGCATGATAAAGCAATCCCTTTGCCAGCAACATCTTGGTCTACCTCAGCTCAACATCCTGCTGCCCACTAGGTAACCTCAGCCAGGCCTGGATCACAGCACCTGTCACTCCTCCAGACAGGGTCACCATGTAAGGTCACCTAAAGACAAAGCCCACTCACAGCAGAAGTGTTTGTGTTTTTTTTTTTTTTTGAAAATTCTAATACTTATTTTTATTTTATATGCATGACTGTTTTGCCTGCATGTATGTAAGTGCACCATGTGCATGGAATGCATGCAGAGGCCAGAAGAGACAGTCAGATTCCTGGAACTAGAGTTACAGACAGTTGTTGGCCGCCATGTGGGTGCTGGGAACTGAACCCAGGTCCTCTGCAAGAGCAGCCAGTGCTCTTAACCGCCTCCACAGACGTGCTCTTGCTCCCTGCTCTTCCTGCAGTACTGCCTGTCTTCCAAAGCACTGCCCACCATTTACCCATTTGCCTAGAACCAAAGGCATTAAAATCCTTCCTCCTCCCTTCAGAGACATCCCACACCAATCCAGCCATGCCCAGGAGCTGCCTCTGAGACATGCCCAGCGTTCAGCCTCTTGTCCCAGTTCTGTGGATCTTGCCATCACTTCCTGCCTGGATCACTACAGTGATCTGCTGCCTTCCTGCCCTCCCACGTCCTGCAGCTGCCTAGGAGACATTTTTAAGAATCAGATACCACTACTCCATAATGTCTGCCAGTCACACCAAGAGCAAACCCAGAGTGACTCCTACCTACCCTGCCTGCCTAGAATCCCCCAGTGAGGGGCTGACTCAGTGGTAGAGCACTTGCCTATCATGCAAGAGACTCTGGGTTTAGCCCTCAACACTACAGAAGGAAAAAGAATAAAAGGAGAATCAGCTGAGGTTAAGACCTTGCTTTAACGTGGTTACGGAGGACGTACGTGATGGAAAGTAGATGAAATGGAGTGAACAGTCCCAGTGTAGGACATGTCAGTATATGAAGTCTGGACAACATGGTAGCACACACCTGTAATCCCAGCCCTCGGGAAGCAGACATAAGAGGATCACCATAGGTTTGATAACAGCCAGGACTACATGGGCAGACTATCTCACAAAGAAAACAAAATTTTAAAGTGTAAAATGTGAATATTAGCAAGCAGTGTAACTGTGCTTGGCAGCTGATCAGTTTGTTTCAGACTGGGTTTGTTGGGGCAGCCAGCCTGTGCCTTTCTCTCCCTGGGGGTCTGGTACATGTACCAGCTTGGGAGGGGAGGGAGAGGGGACAGGAGGCACTATGACAGTCTCCTGCAGCAGTAAGAGAAGGAGTTTTCTTGATTCCCCTTTAATCCCCACCCGATCCCATCTTCCCAGGACATGAGAAACTTTTTCTGTTCTTCCCTGCCAGGCAGCCACTGCACTCCAGGCGGCCTTCAGGGGTCACCTAGCTCGCTCGAAGCTGTTGCAAAGCAAAGCCCGGGACTCCAGCTCATTCCCCAGCCTGCCCAGCCTTCCCACCCAGGTAACCATCTGGCTGGCTGGACGCAGGCTAGTTGTTCCTTCTGCAGTCCTCTTAGGCTTCCTCCACCGAGAGGAACTCGGGCCCTTTGCATCTTCCAGGCTTTCCTGGCTGGGCAGGTATACCGGCCATCCCATGACCCCCGACAGCTCCTCAGTGGCACCTTCAACTCAGCCTTGTTGGATTTAACCAGATGGCTCTGAGGTCTAAAGTCTGATGCTTGCATGCTGCAGGACGGTCCCCAGCCAGGTGTCTCTAATGTCATCATCCACAGCACTCTCCCACACCCCGTGGCCCAAGCCCCATCGCCCAAGCTGATGACAGCCCAGCACAAGAGGAGGCTATCACCGTCATCCAATCCGTCCTCCGGGGACACCTGGCCCGGGCCAGGTTCATGTGAGTGGAGTCACAGGCACCTCTGTGCTGTGTCACTGTGAGAGGAACACATAGTGCAGGGCCAGCCAGGATGCAGGCATGGTATATGTGGTAGTGTGCTGTTGGGGTGTCTGCTGTGTGAGCCATGACCTGATGGTTCACGACAGCAAGAGTGGGGCTTTGGGGGAAATTCCCTCTTCATTGTGGATGTGGTATAGGCTGAGGGCGCTTATCTTTTGGTGGAAACCTTTCTGGAATTCCATTTTCATGATGGAAAGAAGCAAGTAGAAGGTGTTTGAATGCCCTGTGGGCCAGGGGCCTGTCAGTGGGTGGTCACTATGGGTGGGCCACTCTTCATTTTAAAGAAAGATGTGATTTAGCACAGTGGCACATGGCTATAATCTCAGTGCTTGGAAGACTGAGGCAGGAAGATCATGAGTTTGAGGTCAGCCTAGGCTATATAGAAAGGTCTGGTTCAGCCTGGGGTATGTAATAAGTTCCAGGCTAGCCTGGGTACAGAGTGAGTTTGAGACCAGTCTGAGCTACATAGTAAGTTTGAGTCTAGCCTAGACTAAATAGACCATCTCAAAAAATGCATAAAATATAAAAGCTGAGCATCTTGAGCTTGGCAGGTGCTGACAACATGGGCACAGCACGAATCTGAGTCTAAGGGTCAGTGCTTTAGAGCCCTGGATACACTCGCACAGTGTTATGCCTGTCGATATGGCCACTGCAAGCATCACCCAGTGCTATGCAGGCAGGTCAGGAAGGCTCAGTGGAACTTTCTGTCTTTCAGTGCCAGCTGCAAAGGGACAGCCACCATGGCACCTCAGAGGGGAGCTGCTGTGGCCACACACCCAGAATCCACCTCCCTACCTGGCCTTGAGGCTTCTTCTGGTAATTCCTACAGCTGATTCAGACACTAGGGGCAACTGGCCCTCCAAGGGTTAAGCCCAAAGAGGTCTGGGTAAGGATACAGGGGACTTTAAAATCACAGCTTGCACCAGGATAATGTGCAGCTCAGCTTCCTGTGTTGCTGCTGAGACAGAAGCCAGGGTTCAAGCCAGCAGGCTGCAGACAGCTCTGCATCAGCCATGCCAGTTATGTGGGCCCCACATCCACAGTCCACAGCCCAGCCACTGTGGTTTTGTCTCCTGGCTTTTGTCTCTCCAGCGTTCATTGGGCCTGGGCTTCTCTTGTTTGTTTAGTAAAACACCCCCACATTCCTTTTTTCTGTTCCATTAAAGCCCCAAAATAGACTAGGGATGTAGCTCAGAGGTAGAGCACTTGTAGCGTGTGCGAGGCCCTGGTTCCAGTCAAAGAAACAAACACTGGGTAAAGACACCCAAGGTGGGGTGGGGGTAGAGCAATAGCTCCGTTCGTAAAATGTTTGCAAGGTAAGCAGAAGGAACTGAGTTCAGTCCTCAGGAGCCACGTTGAAAAAAACCCTGGGCATCGGTAGTACAGGCTTGTAATCCAGCACTGGGGAGGTAGAGACAGGCAGATCCCTGGAGCTCACTGGCCAGCCAGTCTAACCAAATCAGGAAGTCCAGGCCAGTGAGATCCTGTCAAAAAACAAAAAACGGGCTGGAGAGATGGCTCAGCAGTTAAGAGCACTGGCTGCTTTTGCAGAGGACCTGGGTTCAGTTCCCAGCACCCACATGACAGCTAACAGCTATCTATAACTCCAGTTCCAGAGGATCTGGCGACCTCTTCTGTCCTCTGTGGATCTTGCACAACATGGTGCACTTACGTACATTCAGGCAAAACATGCATGCACATAAAATGAAAATAAATAAACCTGGTGCATGGAGAGATGGCTCAGCAGTTAAGAGCACTGGGTGCTCTTGCAGAAGATCTGGCTTCAAATCCCAGCACCCACATGGCAGCCAACAGCCATCCTTAACTCCAGTTCCAGGGGATCTGATGCCCTCCTCTGGCCTCCTCCAGCATTACACAACACAGGTACACTTACTGCATGCAAGCAGTACATTCATATGCATAAAATAAAAAATAATTTTTAAAAGAAAATAAATAAATTTGAAAAAATAAAAAGCAAAAACACTCAGGTGGACAGAGCCTGAGGAATGACACCTGGGGTTAATGGTTAACTCTAGCCTTTACCCAAACATAAACACACACACACACACAGAAGCCCAGGGTGTGGATCTAGCTGTCTCTCTCTTTCTCTCTCTCTCTCTCTCTCTCTCTCTCTCTCTCTCTCACACACACACACACACACACACACAAGCCCGAATGTGTCCGAATGTGCCTGAGGCTCCTCCTGCCTCTTGTGACTGTCCTTGGTGAGGCACCCATGAGTATGGCACCCCAGGGAGCTGAGTCACCTGGTGCTTCACAGAGAAGCCTCTGTGCTGAGCTCCTGGGTCTCAGAGGTAGAACCAAGGGAGGCTGGCAAGGGCGAGAGGTGTGCTGGCTGCCTGGGACAGATGGGTGGTGATGGGTCCTCCCGGTACTGAACATGCCTTATACAGAATGGGCCCTTCAGGTAAGGAGAACAATGAGGCAAGCAGTGGGGAGTCTGCTGAGGATGAAGATGAGGCAGAGGAGCCGGCAAGCCTGCAGCCTTGCTCAGCTAAATGTGGGGCAGTGGTGGATGGGGTAGCACTGTCTTAAGTAGTTACCCCTCCTCTGGATGGCAGAACAGGCCACAGTGAGGACAAGGCCATGACTCTTGACTCTAAGCCCACTTATACCCCATGGTCAGCAGGTCTTCAGCCTGGCTGGCTCTCTGCTGTTCTTATTTTCTTGGGTGCTAGAGATGGAACCCAGGGCCTTGTACATGCTAGGGAAGTGATCTGCTGAGCCACACCTGAGACCCTCATTGGAGGATTCCAGGCAGGGGCTCTACCACTGAGCCACACTCCAGCCCCTCATTGGGGAATTCTAGGCAGGTGCTCTGACCCTGAGCCAAACCCCAGCCCCTCACTGAGGGATTCTAGGCAGGTGCTCTACCACTGAGCCACACTCCAGCCCCTCATTGGGGAATTCTAGGCAGGTGCTCTGACCCTGAGCCAAACCCCAGCCCCTCACTGAGGGATTCTAGGCAGGTGCTCTACCACTGAGCCACCCCCCAGCCTTCACTGGGGGATTCTAGGCAGGTACTCTACCACTGAGCCCCAGCCCCAGCCCCTCATTGGGGAATTCTAGGCAGGTGCTCTACCACTGAGCCACACCCCCAGCCTTCACTGGAAGATTCTAGATAAGCACTGCTGAATCACATCCCCAAGCCTTAACCAGTTCCCAGGTCAGTCACCCCACTTCCCTTCCCAGGGGCCCCATAGGAGCCCATCTTGGAGAACCTCTGTCATACCATGTTTAACCTGACGTCACACTTTAAAATGTGTCAGCCATCATTTTCCTAGCTGTGTCAGAGCTGCAGAACTGTGAACTTTGATATTCTCTCCAAACCCTTGTCTGGAAAGCTCAGTGAGCCAAGACCAGAAGCCCTGGGATTTCAGGCAAAGGGACAAAGCCACCCCTAGTCTGCAGCCTTCCATGCCCCAAAAGGCTTTAGACTACTCTCCAAAATACCATGTATGCAGATTTCACAGGCCCCCTGTCTGCTGACCTTTAGATTATTTGGTCAGGGCCAAAATGTTTGTTTATGCTGCACTTTCCTCCTATCAAAAGTGATTTTAAAGCAGCAGATTCACCCACCTGTACAGACTGGCTGGCATGGAGGCATCAGCTGCTAGTGACCCTAGAATGTCCATGTGAGAAGTAGAAGCCATGTATTTGAGCTGATTGTGTCAGGTTTTTTGGTTGTTGTTGTTGTTGAGAACGGGTCTTATTCTGTAGCCCAGGCTAGCCTCCACTTGACAATCTTCCTGCCTCTGTTCCCCAAGTGCTAGGATTACAGGCAGGAGCCACCACACCCAGTCCTTGATTGTGGTTTTAAAGAAAAATAAATGCCAGGTATAGTGGCACATGCCTTCAGTCCCAACAGAGACAAAAGAATGAACTGTTCCAGGCCAGCCTCAGCTATATAGTTACTTGAGGCTATTCTGGGTTACATGAGACCCTGTCTCAAACAAGATGGAAGGTGAGAACTGACACCCTGGTTGTCATCGAACCACTACTTCTGCCCCATGGTACTCACATGCCTACATACACACACACACACACAAACACACACACACACACAGATATTACAAAACATGAGAGAAAAATCTTGAAAATATTTGAAACTATTTTTAATTTCCTAAGGTTCTACTTTCATGTTAACTTTTTTAATTAACAAAAGTTAATTAACGCCCTTACATTATCTGTTTCACGATTGAACTGTAATATTTTTTTAAATTTCAAATCAGTAATAGATTCTTTTTTTTTTTTTAACCCTCATCTTTAGGAGCAATTAGAGTGGGGCCCTTTGCCAAGGAGGAGCCGAGGGAGACTGCTATGGTGGACACTGTTCCCTCCTCACATCCGTCTGCCCCCCACTCTGCCCAAGGTGGCGAATGGAGTTGCCTGTCCCCATCCAGTCTGAAGGCTGTGCCTTGTTCCAGTGTGAAGGGTGTGATGTGCGTGGATGCGTGTGAAGAAAGGAGCAGCAGTGCCGGAAGTTCTCGGCCACCATCCCTGGGTATGTCCCCTCTGCTTCTGCCTGGTGCCCTCACCTCTGCCTGTCTTCTCTCTAGGCTGGGCAGGCAGCTGGGGGCCCCACTTCCAGCCAGAAACCTGCTTTTACACACAGCGGCCACTAGATTCCATTTCCCCTTGTAAGTGTTTTTTGTTTACTGAGCCAGTCTTGCTGTTAAGTCCAGGCTGGCCTCAAACTTACTGTAGCCCAGGCTGCCCTTAAATTTATGATCCTTCTTCCTTAGCCTCCTGAGAGCTGGGATGACAGGTGTGCAACACCACATCAGGCTTGCAAGTGTTTTAATTTCAGGACCTGCCAAACTATCACAGGGGTTATGGAGCTAAAAAGAGGCTCTGTGGCAGTATGCAGGTAGGCTCTGAAGGTGGGCCCTTGGCTCATGTTGGTGGGGCCTCAGGCATTGTTGAGTATAAGGCCCACAGCCCCAGAACACAGATCCTGTGGCAGACTCCACCTGGCTGACCTCCATCTCTGGTTCATTTCAACAGAGCCTTGTTCTGCAGGGCTACAGCTTGTATCACCCCTGCCTGTGGAGGACTTCAACTCCGATGACTCAGATGACATTATCATCTCACCCTTTCTGCCCAAGAAGAAGAAGAGCCCCTCTCCATTCTAGGTCCCCAGTCATTGCCTCCAGGTGAGGTGGCTGGGGACGGTTAGAGGACTCTGAGAAGATGGCCTGTCTTTCTAGGGAAAGAGTCCTACCTCGGGAGTACTTCAGCATCGCCATGGGTTTTCTTGGGGTTGTGCAAGTGCCTTTGAGGGATCCTCATGGCCTCTGTGTGCCTTCCTGGGCAGAGTGGGTGGCCACTCCCTCTCCTCTCTCTGTTCAGCCCACATTTCCACCCAAATCCACCCAAATCTACCCAAATCAAGGCACTGAGGAGTCTTAGGGCAGCTTGACCTTGCCCTTGACCTTGGCATTATCAACAGCTATTGAGGGTCATCCTTCCTCGTCCTGTGATGTCCTTGCCTGGGTGCTGCCCAGTGCCTTATGGGGGCAGAGCTACCCCTTCCCCTATCCCCATAACCGAATGCAGCCACATCAAGCCAGCAAGAAACTATGGGCTTTCCGAACGGGTTCCTGGCCCATGGACTCCCCTGCTTCCTTCCCTCCTGTCCCCGACTTCATCCTTCCCCGTAGGAAAGTCTGAGTGGAATCTTATCCCTGGGAGGACCAACTCTTGGAAGAAAGTACCCAGCAGTGTCTAACAGGGCAGCACACCTGCTGTTGGGAAAGGCAGCCCAGGGCAACCTCCAGGGGTCACCCAAAGAGAAAACCCGGAGCAGGGCTGGGAGGCGGCTGTCTTCTCATGGTGGGTAGGACGAGTTCCAATTTAGATCTGAGGATAGCCTCTGTCCCCTGGTATCTGAAGGCCTTTGTAAGCCACCAGTACTGCCTAACCCCCTCAGCAGCCAGCAAATTGGGGTACTGGTCCCTCACTTGTCTGAGATTAGCTCCTGTCAGTGGGTGAGAACAAGGGGCCTCAGGCTTGGTCAGGGTTTCAGGGGCATCCAGACATCTGTGTAGTCCAGGTCTGCTGCCTGAGTCTCCTCCAGAATCCCTGTGGGACTGGCTGGCTAGGCAGAACTAGTTGTCTTAGGAGACACCAGTGCTAGAAAGCTCCTCAGACTGAACCAATAGGAACACCATAGGGTTCGCCCTTAGGGACAGTTTAATTCTTGGGCGTCCAGAATGGCTGTCAGAGGCCAAGGAGGCGGAGCCCTTGGGCAGGCCTTGTCTGCCTACTGGATGGAGAGTAAGGAGCTCCCAGAACTGCAACAGGACCAGCCCCTTTCTCTACCTGTGGGTAGAAAGGAACTCAGCCAGGACCCTCACCAGCTTAATTTTTTCTGTATTTGGTCTGTGGATTGCCAGATCTTTCCTTTTCCCCAGTTAATTTTATTGCTAAGTTTACCCACAGGAGAGCCAACTGAAGCCCTACTAGTCGTGTCTGGGGTGTGTTCCCTGTGATCGGTGCCATCCTTTGAAGCTTCAGATCCATCCACTAAGGCACAAGAGGGTGGCCATAGGTGACCCTCGTGTGAGTGGGGGCACAGAGTGGGCGGCTTACATGACTGTTCTGTCCCCTTTCTCATTTGACAGCAGGCATTTTACTCGGTGTTCTGAGAACCAGGGGCCTGAGTTCTCGGTTACAGGGTAGGAGAGAAGGGGCTAACAGCACCCCAGCATCAGGACAGGGTCTCTGCACCTGACCTGCCATTGGGGGTTGGGGAGGTCAAGATTAGTTCCTACACTTGAGTTGTCTGAGAACTGGAAAGCTGTACAACTTCTTAGTGCAACACACTATTAAAAGCCAACTCTCAGTCTTACAGCTACCTCAGTAAATGACAGCGCCTCCAGCTAGTCCTCCTCTGTCCTGTGTTCTGTGCTGACCACCCAGAGACCCCCTGCTAGAGCAGCCCATGCTGTGTTCTGATGCAGAAGTCCCCATCTGGGGACTGGGAGTCCTGCTAACCAGTTCAGCCTTGAACTTCTCCCAGATCTACAAGATAGGCCTCTCTTGCTGGCCTTGGTTTCAGAGGTGCAAGTTGGACATCTGGCCACCCGGCTAGGCCCACAATGGGAGCCAAACCTACTGAGGGTTGGGGCGGGGCAAGGTGTGGACAAAAAGCTTGGGGCTGTGAGTGGGGTGAAATGGGGGTGGAGTGGCTCAGGTTGTGGGCTAGACCGAGTGGGCTGGAGGCGGGTAAAGAGCTGGGGGCGTAGGTGGGGTGAAGAAGGCTGTGGATGGAGGTGCCCACTGAACAGAACCCGCGGAATAGCACATCCCTGGCGTAGACCAGGAGGTGTCCAGAAGAACGGAACCAACTGTAGCCTCGGCCTTAGGATCCAAAGCGGGCGCAGGTGTGTGCACTTCCAAGTAGGGAGTGACAACTGTCACTCTGCCCTGATTTTCACTGCAATGCCCCTACATCACCTTGAACTTAAATAACAGCAGTGAAACTCCCCTGCTGATCCAGGCTGAGTAGGTAGTTCCAGGTTTAAAAGGACCCTTCCTTTCTCCATGACATGCTCTTTGAACAAGCCCCGACATGAAAAGCTAGGCAGACTTCACCCCACGAACAGCCAGCCACCAGCCTGCTCACCCTACCGCTGCTGAAGTTGACCTCTGTGGACAGCAGGTGTGCTGAGGGGCTGTCCACTCCTTTGAGGTACTGGCTGGAGGCCTTGCGCATCACAGACAGTGCACAAGATGCTGGCTGAGCTTGAGACACTCGGCCTCTATGGGATGCTGTATGGCTTACCCAGGATGAGGAAAGAGGATATCCCAGACTCAAAAGCCAGGGACAGACTTGAGTTACCCTCCTGAAAATGCCAGGCTGATACAAAGATGGATCCAAGAAATACCACGGCCCTCACTCTGCTGCCTGTGGTTCACATCTGCCCACTAGATACACCCAGAGAGGAAGTGCAGGGGGGAGGCTGGTACAAGCCAGGCTCCCTAGAAACTAGTAAAATCGAGGCAGAAGTGGGCTGCCAGTGCATGGGGAACAAATCTCTGGCATCCGGAATCCAGACTAAAAATGCTGGAAATCAAACCTGAACCTACCACATGCTAGGCAGGTGCTCTACCACTGAGCCACACCCCCAGTCCCTGCAGTGAGTTTTTTAATGCATTGTGATCCCAAAGAAAGGAATCCGACATTGGGAGAGACTTTGAATGCCCCCCCCAAGGAGGAGGGGTCTGGAGTGCCCCCCCCCAAGGAGGAGGGGTCAGAAGAGGCCACCAAGACTCTCCAGGCCTTTCAACTAGTGACCAGAGCTAAATTGCCAGTGCCCAGTGCCTGGTATTCACACAAAGTCGAGTTATGTATTGGGGGCTTTTGTGGACCCATTCATTTAGGTACTAAGGAGAGACTTTGGTTGAATGACCCTGACCACAGGTGTTGGCTGTATTCTGTCTGATGAGTGTCTATTTTTGTCTCACAATGAAGGACTGTGCCCTCAGTCTCACAGATGGGCCAGACCCTTCCTTGCGAAAAGAGCAATCACATTAGAAAAAGAGATAACACAGCCGAGCAGACGCCTCGTCTTTAAAGATATAAATACCTTCCCCGGAAGGCACTCTAACCTTTGGGAGCTAAATAAAAATCCCATTATATCCTGCCTAAACTAATTGCAAATTCCTCCTTGGAGGGGGAAGTAGTGTTCACTCCTGTGTGGCTCAGAGAAGCTCTGAAGACCAGAGATTCAAACACAGTGACTGTGGACCCAGGCTGGCTGTTTGCTCAGGCTCCCACCCCGCCACACACACCTTCACAGAGGCCTGCAGGCAGCAGCCACAGTGTGGCTGAGTGCCCCTCTGGTGCAGGCTACAACTGGGCAAGTATCTGTAAGAGTGAGAAATTATGTCTAGAAGATGGAATGTGAAACTATTAAAGTGGCTTGGGACAGTTAGGATGGAATCTTCTGGACTTTTTTATCTTTTCACCTTTATTTTCTTTTTAGTCTTTTTTATTTAGAATTACTTGACTTGTACTTAAGTTATACAACATTTTTTTCAATGCTAGAGATCAAACTCAGGACCTCGCACATGCTGGACAAGTGCTCTAGCTCTCACCTACAACCCACAGCCCTCTAAAACCAATTTTTTAGGGGCTGAAGAGATGGATCAGCAGTTAAGAACACTTGGTGTTCTTCCAGGGGACACAGGCTTGATTCCCAGCACCCACATATGACTAACAACCATCCATAACTCCAGTTCCAGGGGATCTGACACCTTCTTCTGGCTTCTGCAGGCATTGCATACACATTGCTTCCATACATTCAGGCAAAACACTCATACACATAAAAATAAAAATTTTTTAATTAAAATTTAGTGAGATGGCTCAGCAGGTAAAAGCACTTACTACCAAGACTGATGACCTGAGTTCAATCCCAGGACCCACATGGTGGAAGGAAACAACTGATTCTCACAAATTGTCCTTTGACCTCCACATGGACTTCATGGCTTGTATACACACACACACAAAAGTAATAAAAATGTTTATATATATATATATATGTGTGTGTGTATGTGTGTGCTTGTCCATGTATGTGCAAGTGTACATGCATGCATGTACGTTTGTGTAAGCCAATGGTCAATGTCAGGTGACATCTTTCATTGCTGCCAGGAACTTGCTATGTAGACCAGGCTGGCCTTTATCTCACAGAGATTGGTCCGCCTCTGCTTCCCGAGTGCTGGGATTAAAGGTATGCGCCACCATGCCTGGCCTTCTACCTTTTTAAAAAATATTTAATGGCTGGGCATGGTGGCGCACACCTTTAATCCCAGCACTTGGGAGGCAGAGGCAGGCGGATCTCTGTGAGTTCAAGGCCAGCCTGGTCTACATAGTGAGTTCCAGGACAGCTGGGGCTACAGGGAGACCCTGTCTCAAAAAGACAACAACAACAAATATATATATATATAAATTTTTTTTAAAAAAAACAAACAAACAAACATTGAAGACACAGTTTTAAGAAGTTGCCTAAGACTGGCCTTGAACTCACTCTGTAGTCCAGACATATCTTGAATATGTGATCCTCTTGCTCCAACCTCCCAAATAGCTAGGAATACAAGCCTGCACCACCAGGCCTGGCTCATGCATGCCTTCTTAAAGATGGGGCCTAACTCCAGCATCCTGTCAGGACAGTTAAATATGACATTCCCTCCAGGTCTCCAGGAAACCCAGAAAAAAGGAAGAATTTGAATCCCTGGTTCCTTTAGACAGCACTGTAGGGTTCAGAATACAAATGACAGGACAGCACAGGCACCCATTAATGGTCTCTGGCTAGTGTGCCTTCCCATGGGCTCCCTTGAGCTGGACCCAGTTAGAGCCCGAGGGACAGCCCCATTAGACAGTGCCTGCCTGAGGACTCTGGGCTAGGTTTCCATGGTGCTAGGGCTCTCTGAATGAGGAGAAGGGGTGCCCTGAGCTACTCGTTAATTAAGCCCAGAACAAATTCAAAGGAGCAGTCCAGTGTGTGCCAGGGCTCCTGGGGGGCCATTCAAGGGGCCCGGCCTGGGGCTTTCTTCCTCCCAGCCTTTCTCTTCCCAGGCCCAACTTCTAAGAGATGAAAGCAGAGAGGCTGAGGTGTGGGCAGGGAGGGGGCACTGCTGACATAATACATAAGAAAGGCTGCCAGTGCCACTCCCACCCTTCCTCGGCAGATCCACTTCCTCCCCTGGATGGGGCTGGCTGACTGGACCAAGGCTGACCCACCAGAGGCCCTTCTACCTGATCACTTGCCTCTGCTTCCTGGATTTTCCTCTAGCCCTCCACTCAGCCCTTTCCTCTGTTTATTAAATGATGATTTCTTAGGCTTTGTCTCCAACACCTGTACTCTGGATGCCTGTGCCACTTCATCACATACAAATGCTCCAGCTTAGCTTGTCCAGGGCCCCAAGCCTGCTCACCATCCTGTGAATGACATCCCGAGCCACATGGTTGATCCCCATCAGAACCTGGGATGCCCCCGTTTCCCTCTACCGCCTCAACCCTCCCACACCTGTCAGGTCTGTGGGGCTACCTCAATCATGCTACCATCCATGGAGCTGTCGGGGAGACCCAGTCAGCTTCTCCTCACAGGCTCCAGAACAAAACCCACCTTCTAAATAGGCCATCCAGACATATGAACACACACAAGATATGTGCAACACACATATATACAATAGATGCACATGGCACATAACAAATGTGCGTGCACACATACAAATACATGCATGCATGCACACAGATATATACATGTGTAACAAAACGGCAGTGTTTTCACAAGCAGACACATACATAAAAACACATGCATGTACATGTGTACACACAAAAAGAATATACATGTAGACCAGGAAGATGCCTCAGTAGGTAAAGTGCTGCGTTTACCTTTAGTCCCAGCATTTGGCAGGCAGAAACTGGAAGATCTCTTTGAGTTCACTGAGGTCAGCCTGGACTACATAGTGAAACCTTGTCTCAAAAACCCAAAACAAAACAGAAAACCTCTGAGTAGGGTCTGCTGTCATCAGGACTTTCCTTCCCAGGTCCAAGTTCCAGCATGCTTAACCCAAGGACCATCTGTGGAGGTGGCCTTGTGTTCACAACCCACAGCATAACCACTAACCTCACTCAAGTCTCCAGAGACTCTAAGGCTGATACACAGCAGTGCCCAGTCCTGGAAAATGTCAAGATCTACCCCAGGAACAGTGACTAAATCTGAATTCAATTCTGCCTTTACATGTTTTTAGCTGATACTGCCAGCAAATCCTATAAGCACTGCTTCCGGCTTCGGCTCCTGTGACTTTCCAAGATGTTATGTGTCTGTCAGAAATGCCTAACTGATGGTTGAGTGCTCTGAGATGCTTTGGAAGGACCC